GGGGTCAATGTGCGTTCGAGAGAAATTCTCTGCATTGGGAAAAAATTTCTGCCGGTTTTCGCGTGATTTTGCCTGTTTCATGTGTACTATAATATATTACCATTTCATACATCACATGCTGTACCCTGCTTATGCCGCACAGCGCTCGCCACTCCCGACAAATTGCAATGATACAAACTATACATGCAGCCGTGTCTACCGTACCGGTCACTGGCACGATGCCAACGGGAAACTCGTCCGAAATTGCTTTCTGGGTCGCAACAAGCATTTTTTTTGCAAAGTTTTAATCGTTACTCCGTTTTCGCACTTTCCCCTCACGACCGCACAATGCAATGCAAACTCGGAAGGTTTTTTAACCCACTTTCAGGCCTCTGCAAAGGCGAAGACGCCCAAATGTTGGTTTGATAAAGTCGCCAGTCTCCAAGAGGCTTGAAGTATCTTGGCAACTATAGTGTGCGCATTCAATGGAATCAGTACAATAAAAAAGAAATGGTTACTCAGTACTTGAAAAGCATTTATCAACACAATCGACCGCTTTGACTTCAACTGAGTTGCTCAAAGCAAATCATAATTTTCGAGGGTTCACAAAAATCTGGGCTTTACAGCACTGGTAGATCCTTCGCTAGATGTCTAGAAAAACGGCAAGAAGGAAAAAATACGCGAAAAAAATCATAAACGGCAAGAGGAAATATCACCAAATAGGCAAAACAAGTAGTGCTAACAGCAAGAAGGTATTAAGTATATACAGCCCTTTCGCTATGGATGATGAGGTGTGTCAGTGAGAAGAGGTCTGGCGCGCCGCCAGCTCGTTCTCCATCTGTTGCAGAAGAGTTCAAGCAACAGTAACTGATGAAAACGGGTTTAGGGGTGTGCCAACCCCGTACCTCCTGACACGCCCCATCATCCGCAGCGAAGAAGACTATAACGTCATGCTCAGCAAAGCTATGACAGCGGAAAGAAACGCTATGACGTGCAATAGAAATAAATGTCGCCTTGATAGATGTAATATAGGTCCTGTCCGAGGTAATTAACTCCATTTCAATGGGCGACACCGTATCAATGAACCAAAAAGAGGATGGAAATCTCTGTCTCGACATCTTCCCGACTAGGAACGAGAAAAGAGCTGTGGGAAGGGGATGAGGACGAGCTGTGTCTGGCTCTAAGACCACTGAATGAAAAACACTTATTGAAACATGCAGGGCCATAGCACCTTAACCTATACTACATCTTTGGCTAACAGATAAAACAAACAACACATTATATCATATGGCATTTGAAAATGCTCAGGATTAAAAAGAGTGAAACGAAAACAAGTTGATAAGATGGGAATAAAACCAGAAACCGGACATATTCATTTCACCTTCGCTGCAACGACAATCCCCGTGGTCAGGTGGACTGCCTAAAATGATAAATTCAAAAAAATAACAAAATACGATATTTTTATATTTGCAAGAGAGACTACTGCAGAAAAATAGGACTAAATAAACTCCTCACCTTCCTAATAGCATTAAACATACTGCTAGTCTCGTAGGGCCCAACACCGTAAAAGTTGTACTCCTCCTTTTTCGCAAACTTGCGCTTAACTCGCGAACGCAATGACATTGCGGGATTTGTCGCGAAATCGTACATCATCATCACCCAGCTGTCGTGCCACTTCAAATTATCGTAGTACTCCGGAGCTATGTGTCGGATCTGCAATTACCGTCACTGCTCTACAAAGGAAAAATAAAGTTATACAGATATACAGGGGGGGGCAAAAAAGTCACTTTTCTTCATTGACTTTCGTGGCGCTATAAGTTACACTTTATAAATTCTGATCGGACATTTCTACCACCATATTAAAGAGCATATTAAATACTATTATGAACTCCGCCACAGCCTTCTGGACGAGCGCCATCGAGAGATTCTGGCACGCGACCGCGATGTGGTGCCTGAGATCAGCGAGATAGTCGATTTCTCCGCCACCGTAGACCACCCTATTGAACTCCGCCCGAACCGGTAATTGAGGGGATTCAGGTCAGGTGACCTACTTGGATATTCCATCTTCTTTAGGTACTCAGCCCCTTCCATTCCAAGTAGGCGAGAGTTTCTCCAACGCCCTTCGATTCCATGTGGTGGCACCCAATGCTGTAGCAGTACAAAGTTTCCAAGAAGGTACGGGCGACGACATGTGAGGAGGATATTCTTCACGAGTTGCTCGATGTAACCGCCAGCGCTCACCTTCATTCGGGTTCCACAAAGAAACAATAATTCCTTGTCATGTCCAGGGTACTCTCGCGCCTCCAAGCCAGCCAACCCGCGCGTTGGCGACTGCGGTGAAGATGTCCTAGATCGTGGCGACGTTGTCGGAGCTGCTCGATGTTGGAGGTCTTCCAGATTGAGAGTACTAGTTCCAGGTAGCTACCCATGGGTGACTCCATACTAGAAGTTTCGCAGCTGTTTGGAGGTGACATGAATTCCAAAGGTCTTCCAGTCAGGCTGCGACTGGAGATGACTTCATATTTTGGTGTACATGAAGGTGATGGGCGAGGGCCAGCTCCATGCCTTATCGACGGGAAACATTTTGGCGGTATCTATCGCCCTGGTATTCGTATCCAGCTTCCTCTCTCTGGGACTACGAAACTTTGCTGATATGTGACTCGGTCGAAGTGAGTTTTTTGCCCCCCCCCCCGTATGATGTGGCATAAGGGCTGATGCCGTTTGGACGCGCTCAATTGGCTGCTGGGACATTTATGAAGTCTGGATCACCAAACGAAAACTTGTATACAGGAATTATTTAACACCCTGACTGCACATTGACATTCATTCTTGGCGTTGGCGCTAATGGAGGACACTACGATTATCTTTGGGCTCAGCCCTAGCAGAGCGCAGTTAATCTTAATGTCATATTCATAATCAGTGATGTTAAATAACACACTTATACAAATTTTTTGCGGATTTGGTGATCTAAGCACTTCATAAATGAGCCAGCAGCCAAAACTGAGCACGTCCAAACGGCATCAGTTCAGCATAAGCACTGATATATGCCGAACCAAGAGTATACCAGCTGAATAGTTTCCGGATGTACGCGGTGTCAAATCCGCGAACCACTTCTGCCCAGACCAACCATAGCCTTCTACCCTCCGACCGAAAGGGTACATGCCATCCTTGGTGTAAAACACATGTGGGGGGGCGGAGCGGAACTCGCCCTTGGCCTGCTGGAGAGAGGGGTCTGTATGTGCCTTTGAGAGAAATTTAGTCTTGCCGTTTCTTTTAGGTGAAAAATTGGGAAATGTGGGAAATTTCAATTGCGGAAAAACTGGTAGGAAGCTAGGAACTTGTAGGGTAAGTGACAGCGTGCGCTGCTCGGAAGTGGGGGGGGGGATCAGTACTGAGACCCTCTTTGGCAGGGGTGAGGTTCGCCACTGACACTACCATTTCACACATCTCGATACTGGCTGCCCTTCGAGGACGGTAGGCGGTCTGGGAGGATAGCAACACTAACATGCACATCGTCCCCGCTAACTGCTATATTATAGGCATAAAGCAAGCTACCGCGATCCTCAGCAGAGAATGTGTAGTGTATCCCACCACTGAAAGACACTGATCAGCATCGACAGCTCCCAGTAATTATCTCGGGAGGCAATCAGAAAACAGAAATGGCGAGCCTTGCAGTCTACTGACCCTCGCAACCGTTCCTATTACTTTGTTGGCGCACTGTTCGGGGATGATCCGGGACCGGCTCCCGTACAAGCCAATCAGGTCTTCTACCGTACTAGAACGTTACTTTGTACCAGATTCGTCTGTGAGGATAATACCATTGGCTTGTCCATCGGCTGGCCCCGAAATCCAATGCGGACTCCACATCGAAATGGAACAAAGTGAAATATCTCCTACGATTGCGAACTGCGTTACATGACTCGATAAAGGATTCCTACATGTTGTTTGGTCGCGGATCCTCTTCAAGCGTGTGTGTATACCTTGCGTCTGCGTTTAGAGTATATGCCAGTTTTTTGAGCGTTTTGTGGGCAGTTTTGAGCTTTTGGCAGGCACGCCGCCGGCTCAAAACGCTAAATCTACAGATAGTCAATTTCTCCGCCACCGTAGACCACCCTGTTGAACTCCGCCCGAAACGGGTAAGTGAGGGGATTCAGGTCAGGTGACTTACGATATTCCATCTTCTTTAGGTACCCAGCCCCCTTCCCATTCCAAGTAGGCGAGAGTTTCTCCAACGCCCTTCGATTTCATGTGGTGGCACTCAATGCTGTAGCAGTACAAAGTTTCCAAGAAGGTACGGGCGACCACATGTGAGGAGGATATTCTTCACGAGTTGCCCAATGTAACCGCCAGCGCTCACCTTCAGTCGGGCGCGGTCCACGACAAGAAAATAATTGGTCTTTCCATTCCAGGTTCTCCCATATCCATTCATTTGGCGATTGCGGTGAAAATGATGTCCTAGACTGTGGCGACGTTGTCGGAGCTCCTCGATTTGGAGGTCATCCAGATTGAGAGTACTGGTCTCCAGGTAGCTATCCATGGGTGACTCCATACTAGAAGTTTCGCAGCTGTTTGGAGGTGACATGAATTCCAAAGGTCTTCTCCAGTCAGGCTGCGACTGGAGATGACTTCATATTTTGGTGTACATGAAGGTGATGGGCGAGAGCCAGCTCCTGCTTATCGAGGAACATCTTGGGTATCTTCCGCCCTGGTACTCGTATCCACGTCCTCTGTCTGGGCAGCGAAAACTTTGCTGATATGTGACTCGGTCGAAGTGACTTTTTTTGCCCCCCCCCCCTGTATATATATGTACTTTCTTAGACGCTCAAAACGCTCAAGCTGACGCTCAGTGTGAACGCAGCCCTTAGGGATGGGAGAATGTCCGAAACCTTAACTCCCACAATAGAACAAACCTAAAAACCTTGCCTAATATATCAAAACAGTGACCGACCAGGAGAATACTTTTTCGTACCCACATATTAACGACCTTTCGCTCACGCTAAGTCCGTCATCATGAACCGGTTAGGTGAATAGCGAAACAAAATATGCAGAACTCGTGGCTGCAGGTGAGAAATCACATTACAATATAATGCATTGCAACAGTTCCACGAAAGGCAACTGGTCTACTGTGGTTGCAACATCATTCAGACGCCGTGAAGTAACCGTTTTTCAGTTTCTAGTTCTAGTCGCTAACAAATTCACTCACCTTTGGTAAATTTGCTCCTGAGACAAATGGGAAATCGTGGTGCTCTACATGATAACCAACGTTGAACGTCACAAGATTTATGGGCCCATAATAACTGGAACGGTCATGATAATCATGAATGTGAGAGGAAATAATAGGAAAATGATAAACCTATCAACAACACCCGATTTCTTTTAAATTTTGCAGAAGTTTTGCAAAATACGATCCCCTCGCCTCCTCGAAACTTCTTCCGCCACTTTTCCCATCCTACCTATCCTATAGAGTTCATTTTCGAAAAAGAACTGCCGTCGAGCGGAGGGGCTGCGGAGAGCCCAGAATGGTCAGCAACAGAAAAATTTCCTGTCAAAGCCAACAGCGACCTCCCACGACCCTCCACTCCTTCAAGCGATGAAATACAATGAAAATCAAACTAATTCTCGCATAATAACGCATAGCTAAACTTGATTCTCCCAAAAAACAATGCCCAAAAATAGAAATCTACCTGTACGTTTCTTGAGGAGGATTGAACACATAGTGTTCGGAGACGAAGTGACCCGCAAGAGGGTGTAAACCCAGGCCAAAGACGAGACCACCAAATAGATATACAAACGACTTGACACCGAAATAGGTGTAGATGAAATAATCGAAACTCAGTTGTAGTGCAATATTGATCAGTTCCAGATCCGTCATCGACTGCAATTAAAAGAGTCTGTTTTGGAAACTAAATAGAAAACTCGACCTTTCACTTGGAAATGAAAGAAAATGAGGAAGACTGTTCAATATGGAATAAACAGCCTTGAAAAGGAACACGGGCGCCAGCTTCTCTGCAGGGAAGGCATATAAAGAAATCCTAATGCAGAGGTGGGACAAACTTAATGTAAAATAGATGTGCGGCCTGAATAGGTTCACCACGCGTTCGGCCTAAAGGGCCACTCATTAAACCTCGTACAGGCCACGTAGGTCCTTGTCACCAAAATTACCCACTCGTTCCATTACGCAGCTTCACAAAGTTCTTCACAAGAGTTTACATGTCTCACCAAAGTAAGACGTTAGTCAACATGAATCAGCTAGAGGAACTAGCAGTACAATATGTCCCTCCCAAGCCAAAGAGTCAAATAGACATATGTCCCTCCCAAGCCAAACAGCGCCGGTTCACCAACCTCGGAGCTCATCTCCAGGCAAAAATCATCGTTTTCATTATAGGGTACTAGTTTTCCCTCTAAATGTCCCACCTCCAAATTATCAGCACCGAAATACGTTCAAAAACAACGGCCCGTTTGTCCCACCCCACGCCCCACCGTTTTGGGTTGTATTTTTTTTCTCTGAGGGTAAGTTGCACGCTCAAATTCACATCACCTGCTCTCCAAAATAGCTACTTTTTCATTTTAGTCTACTATTTCCGACTATATTCCACCTTCACTTCACTGCTGTCGTATACGACCAATAACAGTTTAACAAACGAATTTAAAAAAGCACACACTTTTGGATAGATCACCAATGGGCGGAGACCGTAAAATATGGGTTGCAAAAACATCCACGTCACTTTCCCGAACGTGGTACAGAACGTTCTAGCTTCCCACTCTGTTGGCACATCAGTATCAATGATATCTTCTCCTGGAAACGAACGCAATAGGGCAAAACAACCATAATAGAAAATCAGAGAGGTTCGGCTCGGTGGGGTGACTTTAGCGAAGCCTGTGCGTCACCCATATAGAGCGGTAAATTGTTGTAACCAAAATGACTCACTGTACCATTTCGCAGCTTGACTAGAGTTTACAGGTTTTACTAAAAGACACATGCTAGTCACCATGAACTAGCGAAAAAACTAGCGGAAGTGCTAAGGTCCCTCCCAAGCCGAACAGCGTGCCACTTGCCCTTATTTGCACTGCAAAAACCTTACCAAGGTTCCTGTGATGCTCAATATGATACTTCTTGAAGGAAACTGACATTGGAATACCCATCGGAAGATTGGCAATAAAACCAAATAACCGATTCTAAAAACCGTTAATTAAACCACAGCAGTATCCAGACATAATTATGCAGTTTCTGAATAGATGACAAGAAAATGACAAGAAATCAATACCCACTGCAAGAGGACGAGATGTACCAAAGGCTTGGTTATGACTGATCTCATGCACAGCCAATGTGAGTGCATGATTGAACGTTCCAGATACAAAGTAAATTTGCAAAGCAATTAGCAACCAATCAGCATCTGAAACAGATTAGGTAGCACTCTTCTCATGTAGTTGGTATCGGGGTATTAGTCGGAGCGGTGGGTGTCACGAGGGGTGGAGTGGGCCCATCTCGGCCGCATTTTCTACCATAATGATCGGTTCGGTGAGGAAAACAATCAGGGGCAGAAAGCGCCGCGGGTGGACTCATCTTATGCCTCTTTATACTGCCCTGACTGACGGCGACGATATCAATTTTACTTAATTTTGGCCCTTGATGAGAAATGCAAAGTTGAACCCCACAATCAGATCAAAAAAAGCGTAACCTTTACTCCAGCAGTTAGTAAAAGATATGAAAATACACACTTTTCAGACACGCTCTTGCCAGCGGAAATGGTGGCTAATGGATCCATAGAATACAGCTGCGGAAAAAAAATTGAAACAAGCCGAAAAAAATCGAGATTTTCTATCAAATTATTTATTTTCCTTGACCTGTCTACTGAAATATGGCGTGGATACGATAAATTTACAGCCGGGTGAAAGAACGCTTTAAAACTAGGAAAACGACCCTAAAGAAACACAAAAGTAAGTGAGATCTAGTTTCCGGCACCCATGGTCAGCATCAGGATAACAAAATGATCGAGTAACGGTCTTCACCATCAGACATTTTTGGGACGACTCGGAGCATAAGTCAAAGAGAAGCACCAACACCAATGATCGGTTCCATGCATTTAAGGGAACTTGGAGTTGAATATTTGTGGATACACCTGAAGCTCTCTGCCTCCACTGAAAACTTTAAAGTTCAAATGAAGAGAAGAGGCTTCGTCATTTCTATCACTACTACTCAAAATTAAACACAATGAACTCAGGGAACCATGCGATTCTGAATAGCTTCCTTTTTGTAGAATTCTCGCTATCTACTTACCTTCCCAGTGTTTTGCTGTTGACTGAGAGCTTCAGAACTGTGAGAAACGCGATTTTGTGGCTTGTCCAAATTTTTTCGCTTCTCTAGCTGCCAAACAGTAACAGCCGTTTCTTAGGTCACCGCTACCTCAACTTGATTTATTTGTGCTGGAGTTTACTGCACACAAGACCTTGTAGCCGTTCCTTCTGTTCGCAAGAACGCGCTTGAACAGTGTTAACAGTGCGGTTGGCTTCATAATCAAGATCAAGAGACCTCCATGAGTGAATCACCCTTATTTTATGGGGTATAGGGCGCATTTCGTAGACTCGCACGTAACAAAACGTGCGAAAAGTTGGCAGACACATAAGCAGTTTTCCTATCTTTTTTGCATAGTTCAATATTCCAACGGATTTTCTAATACTTCCTATTGAATAAAGATCGTGGATAAGAATAAAAACAAATGAAAAACACGCAAAAGAATAGAGGAAAAAATTGGGGAATGGCAATCGAAATGGAGGTGCGCCCTCTACGTGGATGTGCCTCATACTTCAGAAAATGAGGGTCCTTATATGAGACTACTTACTCTCTCTTTTGACTTTCACTTTACTCTCTCTTCACTCCTCACTCTCTCTTTCTTTCTTTTACTTTACACTCTCTTTTGAACTCCCATTGGAAAGCATCTGACTACATCATGAACTACTCTGTTGAGTTTTGTGCGGTCATGTCAAATGCGCCGTCAACCCCCGCAGTTACTCCCACGTTTGTGAGAAAAGTCATGTAGATAAGATAACCGTGAGAGGTGGAAGCCGAACAAAAAAACGAACTTTGAGCGAGTGAAATTTCAACATTCGCTGAGAAAAGTATAGCGATTGACCAGAAATTTTTCAAGATTGATTAAAAATATCAGTTGGGGAGGGTAACAATCATAAAAACACAGATACCACATAGAGCATAGATCATACCTCTGAGCAGCCAAGCAAAACCAATCTGTGCCAGTACCATACATATCACGACCACTTTGAACGCTGGATCTTGTCCAAACAGATCCTTGATTTGTGGATATTTTTCTAGCATTTCTTTACGCCTTAAAAAATATTATCAGTCAATTAAAATATTTCCAACTTTGCAGATAACAACATCCAACATCCCTCTCCTTTTCTTCAGCAAATTCCCCGCAGCAGTGCCAATATCGCTCTAAGGTCACACCCTTTGAATGAGAGTACAAAAGGGAGTGGCTGATAAAGAACGACGGCATTTAGCGATAGAGATGGTTAAGTCAAAATGTTGGCTAATGCACTTTACGAATTTAATAGCCTCCTCTCTCACCTTCCTCAATGCTCAATGTTGCCTTCTCCTCTCCACTCCTTCCCCTCCAACAACTGGAAAACGTTCTCACTGGTTCAAATTACTCCCCCCAAACTGCACATTCCATTTATTTACATAGAGCAGCGTCACGAATGATTCGATCACGCCAGCCCTTTTTTGCATATAGTTGGTCGCTCAGGTCAAAAGTACAAAGTAGATTAGATAGTAGAGAAATCGTTTTGCAGACCACCGGTACGTTTCTGGCACATAACTTTCTACGTGAGGCCAACCACAAACGGCATCATAACCGAAATGATG